ATGCTTCAGAGGAACAGCTGCTGTTTTGCGTAGTTTAGGTTCATATTGTTTTTCTAGAGTTGTTAGATTCCCTTTGTTCAATTCTAATTGTGCCAAAAGTGACAAGTGGTCATATTGACCCAAGGTTTCACAGAGCAGAGGTGGTATAATTCCCAAGGATGAACACAATGTTCTTCTTTCATCCCTTTCTTTGTAATAAGAAATGCTTTTTCAAGTGCTGCTGAATTGTTTGGGTTTCCTTTATTTTATATTTTTGGGTTGGTTTTTTTTAGCTGCACCTGAGGATAATTTCTGCTCCACAAAGCCTTGAGGATTCAAACACCTGCATCTCCAAATGGGAGGAAGCTGAGTTCTTGTGTGTGATGACTATTAGAGTTTTTGGGGAGTTAAAAAAAAAAGTAGTGAAGGAGATTATTTTTAAATGTTCCCTGGGAAAATAAATTTGACTCTTGCTGAGAGCACAATTGCCTGTTGCAGAATTTTAAAATCCTTTAAAAGGTTTAACCCTGTTTTTTCTCCTTTGTTTTCCAAGTGTGTTCTGCTCTGCATATCTGAATGCAGAAGGGCAAGTAAATTGACAGCATTTACTTGTATTATCTGCCTTTAAGTTACATATTCTATTTAGGACTGGTAGTGAATCCTATACGGATCATACGTTCTGCCTACAGTGGCACTGAGGATAATTAAGCTGAGCTTTATAAATATTTTTATTGCAGTGTTTCACTTTGATTGTCTATTCTTATTGACAGGACTGGGAAAAGATGACTGAATTAGTGTTCAGGTCCCGAAATAATTCAGAAGTTCAAGGTTGCCTATGGAAATACCTCTAATTAAAAGCAATTTATATTCACTTCTTAGTTTCCAGAACACACCAAGGGATCATTGTTGTCAGCCTTGATCTCCTCAATACAAAATGCTTTTTAAAAGACTACATTTCTCAAAATTAAAGCTTTACACAATTTAATAAATAACTACAATTTCAGACTACTTGGTAGGAGATAGGAGAATTCAAATCTAGAAACTGAATATACAATGCAAGCTTGGAAATCTGCAGGCTAAATGGGAGTCAGGAGGTAATTATTGGTACTGGAAAAATAACAAACCCTTAATTAACTGTTCGATGAGCATTTAATGCCATTGCTAAGAACAATTATTCTCACTCACCACAGGATATAGGATGGGCAGCTTGCAATGCAGCGGTTGTTAAATATTGTTCCAGCTCTGAAAAATGCTATGATGATGCAATTCCATCAGAGAAAAAACAGTTGTTTCATGCTGTGTTCATTCCTCCTCTTGACCCTCCTGTGTTCTCTTCCATCAGTCTAGACCAGTGGTTCCCAACTTTGGTCCTAAGTGTCTTGGACATCATTTCTCAGAAACTCAGGCAAGCTTGACCCAAGAGTCAGGAATTCTGAGTCTAGAAGTCTAAAGTTTGGAAAACATTGTTCTAGACTCAGGTCAGAGAACATGTAACTCTCCCAATAACTGATTATTGCCTCTGGTGTCTGAGGCTGGTTTGAGATTGTATTCAACAACACCAGCTCTCAAGGATCATGAGCAGTATGCCCCTCAACACTGGTTGCAAATCAGGACAGAGTCATTGCTTTCTCCTACTTGTTGGCAATAGGCACCCTATAGATTTTTGGTTGACCGTTTTGTTTAATGCTCAACTATATAGATCTTTTTTGCTGATTCAATAAGGTTCTTATGTTCCTTTAAGTCCACCACTGATAGCCTTTCTTCCCTCAAGTTCTTCTTTGGCCCCTTCCACACAGCTGTATAAAATCCACATCGAACTGGATTATATGGCAGTGTGGACTCAGATAATCCAGATCAAAGCTAATACTGTGGATCATCTGCCTTGATATTCTGCATTACATGGATGTGTAGAAGGGCCTTTAGTCCCTCACAGATGTTCCCGGACAGCAGCTATTTTGGTTGGTTCTCGTCTCTCTGCCTTATAATTATGTTTGGTTGCAAAATGGGGATATTACACCTAAATAAGGATTCTGCCCACCTCCATAAAATCTTGCTTCAGTCCACAGATTTCTAGCATTGCAGTAACTTAAAACTTCGGTTGAGCATTTAGGCATCTGAAGAAAAAGAGCAAAGTTCCCATGAGAATGAGAACACAGAGAATACTTGAGTTCAGAGTGTGAACGATTTTCAATGCCTCACTTTCTACAATGCTAGAAATTTCAGGACTGAATGAAAATTTCATTTTAAGGCAAGATTCTTATTGGTGGAAGTGTCCTCACCCTCCCCAGCTATATCCCCTCTACCCATCTTTAGTTGTGCCTTTCTTCCAGATTGGTAAAGTATCATCGGCTTTGTCTCCTTTCTCTGCAAATTGCATTGGTTCCTCAGTAGTCCAGTAAGATATCTGATTTGAGATTATATTGGAAGAATGGTGACTGAGGCTGTTCCAGAAAGCCTTTTAGCTATTGTATCCTATTTTAGAAAATGCAGCAAAGAATATTGTGGTAGAGATTACCCAGTTTATTCTGGTTTAAGGAACACATAATTGCTGAATTTTAAGGTGAAACAAGACTCTTCTTCAAATCACTTGTACCATTCTCAAATTGGGGAAATCAGGAGACATTTGTGTATGGGGAAGCAGCCTTTGGTTCATAGGTTATGCACTGAAGATACTCTTCAAACCAAACATTAACTCAAGGGCTAAAGGAGGAGAGCCAGAATAGTTCCTCCCACCCATTTCTGTCTCCTTACCTCTCTCTTTCCAAGTCTGATAGAGAAGTATGTTGCCTTCCCCCTTACAATCTTACAGTTGCCTTCTGGAGGGAAACAGATGTTCACCTTCATCTGACCTGTTATGGCATCCTTGCCTCCCCTGACCAGGTTTGGTGATAGCTTTCAGCACCTTGATACCGTCTTCAAAATTCAGATTAAAGGCCACAGTGTATACACCTCCTTCATTGACATCAGAGCTATGATAAGCTTCTACTGGTTTTGTCCATATTGCAATAGTGTTTCAAAGTATAATAGTGTACACTTCTGTATCTGACTGAACCTGTCCTTATATCATGGGTGGACAACTGGATCCGGGGTTGCTTATAGTCCTTCATGGATATGGTTGTGGCCCTCAACACTTCCAGGATCCACAGAATGGTTTTTTTCTTGCTAAAAATAGAAGAATGCCTGTAGAAACTTCAGGTGTGATACTTTAATTTTAAAATACTTTCAAGGCCTCTTTCTACTCATCAGAAGACTAACACTTTTAAGGACCAGAAGTAGGTTTCTTGCTACTTTGTTTTTTTCTGTTTTCATTTCAGTAACTTATGTGACCCCAACAGTCCTGTAGCCCTCCTGCAGCTGCCCTGCCCAGGTAGAAATGGGTTTCTGCTCCTTTCTCAGGCACAATGATTTTTCCCTGTGTCTTGGTAACAAGAGCACAATGGAAGGCTGAGAACTTAATGCTATCTTGAACTTTTGGGATTTTAGAAGCTTTTATGTGTGTGCCTGTGGGGGCAAAACTATCTTCACCATTGGCATTGAGGTGGGACTTACTTGATTATAATGTAGGGATAAACTTGCCCTAGTTTTGTTTCATCCTGGGTTGAATAATGGCTACAATCTTGTCTTTTTCAGAATATTCTATAGAATTGCCCATTTCAAACCAAAAAAAAGTTGTTTAGAGCTTCAAGGCAGGTCCACTGAACCTTTGTTACCTACTTTCAAACTACCAAATTGTCTCTTGCTACTAATATTGCCACTAAAAATGAAATGGGAATTGTAGGTGGGTATTTCATCAATTCTTCAGGCATCTAGGAGCATTTGTAAGGGCTCAGAGAAAGGGGAGGCCACACAAATTAATCTCATTTTCAGCTCCTTCGTTCTCTAACTTGAAAGTACTACAAATGGAGTATCCCTTTTCCAAAATACTTGAGATAAGAAGTTTTTTGGATTTCAGATTTCTTTGGATTTTGGAATACCTGTACTTGCATATGCATACATAATGAGATATCTTGGAGATGGGATCCATGCCTGAACACAAAATTCATTTATATTTCATGTATACCTCATACACATAGCCTGAAGGTAATTTTATGCATAATATTTGAGAAAAATATTTGAAAAAAGTACATGAAGCAAAGTGTATATACATTGAACAATCACCATGCAAAGGTGTCACTATCTTAGTCACTGATGTGGACATTTCTGAATTTTGGAGTATTTTGGAATTTTGCATGAGAGATTTTTAAACTGTACTTGCATTGAAATGAATGTTCATTTGAAACTCTGGGAAATCAGTGTCCATGTTTTATCATGGTCCCAAATTAGACAGGGTGTCCTATTCATGTTCTCCTACATGTACACAAGTAGGAGAAACTCTACCCAAACCTTTGCATATAGGGAGTGAATAGGCAAAGTGGACACACATGAGAAAATTGTGGAAACAGCTAATGTATGCAGCCCTATCTATGTCTCTCCTTCCCATCCTCACACATTCCTGTGAATACCTGAAGAATATTATTGCTGATATTCTATCAGACTCATATAAATATAATCATTTTCCTGGCTCCCCACCACCACCCCTCTTTTGAGGGGCTGCAGTCAAGAGTGGAAGCATGGTAGGATGAAGAGATGTAATATTTATTTTGTCCCTTAGTGGCTGTCACTGTATTCTGCATATGCTGTGCTTCCTTTTCAGTGGTTTTTTGAATTTAGTTACATTGGTGCTAAGGAAACCACTGCTGTTTAAGGGAGGACTTGAAATATCAGGCATAAGCCTTGAAATATTGATGTGTTTGTGGAATAAAAACAGCTTGCTACTTCTGGGCAGCTTTCTTCTCATTACTCTGGGGGAAGCACAGCAGCTGTGTGAACAGAGAGAGAGAAAAGTATGTAATTGGAAAAACATACATTAGATTAAGCGATAATAGTGGTAGTATCCACAATCCTGATTCTATGCTGAGAGCAAAGCTGAGAGACAAATTCTGGACAGCATTTTTATTATTATTTCTGTGTTTATTCTTTAGCCTCAGACCATAAAGCAGACACTCCAGAGGACACTGCAGCATTATGAGCATCAAGTTATGGGGTAAGTAGATCGATTTTCTCCAAAACTAGCATGTATGTGACTAGGAACTCATCATACAATCTAGATTCAATGGCTCCGGTCACCTATGGAGCTGGCCCAGCTCCCATCAAATGACATCGTGCCAGCTCTGTGGGTGTAGAGGGGCAAAACTGGCCTTCCACTGCCCTGGCAACATGGGAGGCTTCCAGTGTTGCACAATCTATGGGGGGAAGCCATGCACTCCTGCTTCCATCCATGTGATTGCCCTCCCAGCACCCAATGTGGGTGATGCAAGACATGGGGCACCGGATTCTCCATGTCTTGTGGCGAAGCGAACCCCCACCTCCTGCTGCTGCTGGCTGTCTGTCTAATGAGGTAGCAAATACCTGGCAGTAAGAAGCAATGGGAAGCTGCTAAAATAGTGCTTCATGGCAAACCTAGCCAACCCTGTATCTTTTATATATGTTTGTTATGGCTTCTGTAAGTTTCAGCCAAAACGGGAAAGGTAAGGGGGTCTAGAAATCCAGAACATCTGACTTACCTATGCCCTCCTTAGTACAAGTCACAATCTATTTTGTAAATTCTCTTGGGACCTTCCACTGTGCCCCATCCATATAGTGTGGGATGACACTGGAGTTTTGCTATTCTGCCATCTCACCCCCCTTTTGGAGATATGATTGGAGCCAACCTTACTGTGGTTCAGAGAACAAGTGAAAACTTGGAAGCAAAGGAACATTTGGAACATACTTGATTGCTAGGTTTGTTCTGGATTTACTTCTGGTAAATCTGATGGCCCTTCCACACAGCCCTATGTCCCAGAATATCAGGGCAGAAAATCCGACATTATCTGAGTGTGGAATTTTATTCCACTGTGTGGAAGGGGCCTCAGATAACCCAGTTCAAAAGATATAGTGGGATTTTCTGCCTTGATATTCTGGGATATAGGGCTGTGTGGAAGGGCCCTGAAATGACTTGAGGGCAACAGTAATGCTATGCATAGATATTGTTCTCTCTTTTTTTCCCATTAGCCAAAACAAAGAAAGTGCAGCCTTTACTGGAATCAGTACTGAATTTAAGCTGAATATCTGCCCCTCCCTCTCCTGTGCATGATTTTGTCACATTCTATTGACAACACTTTGGCATGTGACAATCTGTGTTCAAAGTAATAATATCATCAAGAAGACCAGAATGGTGTAATTGCTTGAGACTATGGCCCCTTCCACACAGCTGAATAAAATCACACATTATCTGCTTTGAACTGGAATATAAGACAGTGTGGACTCAGGTAACTCAGTTCAAAGCAGGTATTGTGGGATTTTCTGTCTTCATATTCTGGGTTATATGGCTGTGTGGAAGGTCCTAAGACTATGGAGACCAAAGTTCAAATCCCAAATCATTAAAATCCATTGAGCAAGTCCCACCCTCTCAGATTCAGAAGGTGGCAAAGGCAAATCTTCTCTTAACAAATCTTGACAGTAAAATCCAGAGATAGGTTCATTTTAGGGTTGCCTTTAGTCAGAAATGCCTTGAAGGTACTGAACAACACCAAAATCACCAAATGTCTATTTCTGAGTAGAATTGTTGTCAGTCCCAATGGAATGTGTATAAGTTCTGCCTTACTGATTAATTTTTCACGGGATTTATGTCTATAGTTGTGATTAATAATTGGATTTGAATTTTCATCTCAAAAGTGTGGGTTTTAGGAGCCTGGAACAGAGCTATGTGATTATGATAATCAAATTTATTTTGATTGAATTGCAACTCATATAGCCCCTTCTAATATAGCTAACCCCTGACTTCTACAAATAGAGTAGAAGTTACACATATGAAGTTATCTGATGCAGGGAGAGGAGTGTCTTTTCCCCGCTTCTGTCTGCTGCTATAACTGAGTGCCACGGAGCCCCTCACATGATGCAGGGCAATTTCTAGTAGGACTCCATGGGGCTCCTTTGCATTAGTGTTGTGGCACTAATTCTTCCTAATGTTCAGGTGGAATCTTCTTTCCTGTAATTTGAATCTATTGCTCTGAACCCTCGTCTCCAGGGCAGCAGAAGACAAGTTTGCTCCTTCTTCCTTATGGCATCCTTATAAATATTATACATGGATGTCATGTCTCCTTTTAACCTATTGGGAGATAGGACAATATAGAAACAAATAATAATAATAATAATAATAATAATAATAATAATAATAATAATAATAATCCTTCTTCCTTATGACATCCTTACAAATATTTATACATGGCTTTCATGTCTCCTTTTAACCTATTGGGAGATAGGGCAATATAGAAATAAATAATAATAATAATAATAATAATAATAATAATTATTATTATTATTATTATTATTATTATTATTATTATTATATTCTCTTCTACAGGCAAAATACAGCTAGCTCTTTATCCAGCTCTTCATAGACCATGGTCTCCAAACCTTTGATAATTCTAGTTGCTCTTCTCTGGACACATTCCAGCTTGTCAATATCCCTCTTGAATTGTGGTGCCCAGAATTGGACACAGTATTCCAGGCGAGATCTGACCAAAACAGAATAGAGGGGCACTATTACTTCCCTTGATGATGGCTGCATCAAAAGAAAAAGGGGAAAGAAACAAGGAGGGAGGTCTGTCCCCATCTTTCTTTCTGGTGCCCGGTTGTAAACAGCACCTGGGAAATATATTTCCCTAAGACCTACACTAATTGCTTTGGTTTTTGAGAAAACAATGCTTCCAGGATTATTTACAGCCTGGCATGCTGAAGCTTGTTTCCACCACTACAACCACAAGAGAAAAGTGTCGGGGGGGGGGGGGGTTGTGCATGCATGGGAAGGAGAGGGTATTTAAAAATTAACATGGAGCACCTTTGGAGTGGCTCAAAGATAACACGAGCTGCTTTCAGATTTTCAAAACTATCACAAAGTAGGTTAGCTTTACTTGTTGTGGCTGTATGCCTTCAAATCATATTTGACCTATGGTAACCCTAAACTGAACCCATCACAGGGCTTTCATGGAAAAATTTGTTCACAAGATGTTTACTGTTGCCATCTACTGAGGCTGAGAGAGTATGATTTACTAAAAGTCATCCAGATTGCACCATGCATTCAATGACACGGATATAGAAAGGACTTATTTTGTAGCTTTATATTTTATATTATTTGAGGGCTGTATCAGGTAATATTTATGTGTTGTTGTTGTTGTTCATTCATTCAGTCGTCTCCGACTCTTCGTGACCTCATGGACCAGCCCACGCCAGAGCTCCCTGTCGGCCGTCACCACCCCCAGCTCCTTCAAGGTCAGTCCAGTCACTTCAAGGATGCCATCCATCCATCTTGCCCTTGGTCGGCCCCTCTTCCTTTTGCCTTCCACTTTCCCCAGCATAATTGTCTTCTCTAGGCTTCACTGTCTCCTCATGATGTGGCCAAAGTACTTCAACTTTGTCTCTAGTATCTTTCCCTCCAGTGAGCAGTCGGGCTTTATTTCCTGGAGGATGGACTGGTTGGATCTTCTCGCAGTCCAAGGCACTCTCAGCACTTTCCTCCAACACCACAGTTCAAAAGCATCTCTCTTCCTTCGCTCAGCCTTCCCTAAGGTCCAGCTCTCACATCCGTAGGTGACTACAGGGAATACCATAGCTTTGACTAGGCGGATCTTTGTTGCCAGTCTGATGTCTCTACTCTTCACTATTTTATCGAGACTGGACATTGCTCTCCTCCCAAGAAGTAAGCGTATTCTGATTTCCTGGCTACAGTCTGCATCTGCAGTAATCTTTGCACCTAGAAATACAAAGTCTGTCACGGCCTCCACAGTTTCTCCCTCTATTTTCCAGTTGTCAATCATTCTTGTTGCCATAATCTTGGTTTTTTTGACGTTTAGCTGCAACCCGGCTTTTGCGCTTTCTTCTTTCACCTTGATTAGAAGGCTCCTCAGCTCCTCCTCGCTTTCGGCCATCAGAGTGGTGTCATCTGCATATCTGAGGTTGTTAATGTTTCTTCCAGCAATTTTCACCCCAGCTTTGCATTCATCCAGTCCCGCACATCGCATGATGTGTTCTGCATACAAGTTAAAAAGGTTGGGTGAGAGTATGCAGCCTTGCCGTACGCCTTTCCCAATCTTGAACCAGTCTGTTGTTCCGTGGTCAGTTCTGACTGTTGCTACTTGGTCCTTGTACAGATTCCTCAGGAGAGAGACAAGGTGGCTTGGTATGCCCATCCCACCAAGAACTTGCCACCATTTATTATGATCCACACAGTCAAAGGCTTTAGAATAGTCAATGAAGCAGAAGTAGATGTTTTTCTGAAACTCCCTGCCTTTCTCCATTATCCAGCGGATATTGGCAATCTGGTCTCTCGTTCCTCTGCCTTTTCTAAACCCAGCTTGGACATCTGGCAACTCTCGCTCCATGTATTGCTGGAGTCTTCCTTGCAGGATCTTGAGCATTACCTTACTGGCATGAGAAATAAGGGCCACTGTACGGAAGTTTGAGCAGTCTTTCGCATTTCCCTTTTTTGGTATGGGATATAAGTTGATTTTTTCCAGTCTGATGGCCATTCTTTTGTTTTCCATATTTGCTGGCATATGGCATGCATCACCTTGACAGCATCATCTTTAAAGATTTTAAACAGTTCAGCTGGGATCCCGTCGTCTCCTGCTGCCTTGTTGTTAGCAATGCTTCTTAAGGCCCATTCAACTTCACTCCTCAGGATGTCTGGTTCTAATTCATTCACCACACCGTCATAACTATCCTCAATATTATTATCCTTCCTATATAGGTCTTCTGTATAGTCTCGCCACCTTCTCTTGATCTCTTCAGCTTCTGTTAGGTCCCTGCCATCTTTGTTTCTTATCATACCAATTTTTGCCTGAAATTTACCTCCAATGTTTCTAATTTTCTGGAAGAGGTCTCTTGTCCTTCCTATTCTGTTGTCTTCCTCCACTTCCATGCATTGCTTATTTAAAAATAGTTCCTTATCTCTTCTGGCTAACCTCTGGAATTGCGCATTTAACTGGGCATATCTTCCCTTTTCAC